AGTTCCTCTGCGGCCCCTGCAAGCAGTAGTGGCAGAAACAAACCTCTGAGTGGATTCAAATCTCCAAGTCCTTTCTTCTCAGAAAGACTGGAAATGGAACTTAAGCAGAGGGAGAGGGGAGGTTATAGGGGACTGAAGAGTTTTAAAGTTGAGGGTAATAATCTGCAGCATGAATTCACAGCCTCACCTCTGCAGTGTCATAAATAAAACAATGTGAGAGATTTCATATTTTAAATTTGGGTTTAAATCAGCATCTACTTTCCACCAAAGCTCAAGATATTTTAATGTTTTATATAATGAACCTCTCTATTATTTTATATTATGAATATGGTTCCCTGAGAATCAGCACCAAAGTAGCAAATTTAACTGTACCATACAAAAATTTTAAAGAGATGTTAGTTAAATATATTACCGGCTTAAATCTTCATATTCTAGGTTTAACAATAAATGTGTTTAATCATGGGACAGCTTTGACTACCTTAAGTTTCTATTGCTTTATATGGCCAAATAGAAGATGAACTTATTTTCCAAAGTGTCCTCTGAAAAGGTGTCACCTTAAATTTGAGTTTTTGCAAAGATTCATATTACACAGACCTCTTTGAGCAACAAAGAACTATTTGGAGAAGACATGTCAGCATGAAATAACCCGTCAATGAAGTTTTCAATGCAAAAGAGTCTCCTGACAAAAGTCGTACAAAAGGAGGTGAAGAAATTTACTACAGATTTAGTTCTTATTCCTGGGGGATATGTGACCTCACAATTTCAAATGCTGGATATTGCTGTAAACAACTCTTTTAAAGATCCTTTTAAAAAGCGATAGTGTTAGGTCAGCCAAAAATGTATCACCTGAATTTAGTCATGAAGGAAACCTCAAAGCAGCCCAAGTTGACAGACATTCTACAAAATAACTACCAGTACTCTTCTAAACTGTACAAAAGACAATGAAAGACTGAAGAGCTACCCTAGATTAAAGGAAATGGAGGAGTCATGACAACTAAATACTTTGTGATCCTGGATTGGAGCCTAGACCAGAAAAGGGGCTTTGCAGGGAGTCTCAGATGCTTTGGTCCCTTAAATAAAAACCCAGAAGCCCTTAGTTATAGTGGAAACAATCTCTGTGAAGCAAAGCATGCTCCCTTTTAAAGACCTCTTTTTTTTTTTTTTTTTGGCCAGGATAATAACATGCATGATCTTGACTAAAATTTTTTTAGATCTTTCCTAAAAATGTTATCAGCTTAAAAGTGAAATTTGTGGTTTAAAAAGTATCTAAAAAGCTTTTTTTTAATCTTAACATTTTTTTCTAAAGCAAAGCTGATATACTTCATCAACTTTGCTCTTTCTTGACTGTTTCAAAGATATTTTGAAAGAGTTAGTATCTTAACTATGCTACAGACATATAAATGCATTCTTCTAATCAATACTTTAATCTGAAACATCAGCCCCATAAGTATAACACATAACCAACAGAAGAAAATAATCCCATTCTGTCTGTATCAGTCCTTTTAACACCAGCAAGATCAAGGGTATATTTTGGCTGATTACTGTGAAAGCTGGTGTGGGTGGTCACAGTTGTTTACAAGTACATTTTGTTACCAAGAATGTGGATTTACTTTTTTTTTTTTTTTACAGTGCTTCGAGTATATGAACCAAACATTTAAAGCAAAACTGATAAGGAGTAAATCATTAAAAATGAGTTGCATAATGACTGAAACTGTATAATTTCAGCATATTCACAATGGTTAATGTAATCACATTCCAAGTATGTCCACTCTTGGCATAGCTTACAAAAATTAATGCCAAAAAACATTATTCTTTTTCAAAACATGAATTCCAAATTCCAAATTCTGGTAACTTTGAGTTTTGAAATCACTTGGCAATGGGATTTAGCAATCAGTTGGCTAATGAAAAAGAAATCCAGCTAGATAAGCTGAAACTGTATTCAGCTGTTTTAGCCATGCATGTAAACTTTAGAGCAGCCATTCACCAGAATGACAGGAGATATTCTAGCACATCAATTCCCTCCCAGCTGCATTTCCGGGCATTGCCCTCCTCCACCTGCTCAGGTGATACAGCTGTGGGTCCCGGGGACCCTGCACTGGTACTAGGGCTCCCCCTCCTCAGCCACCTCACTGCAAAGGTGCCTCCCACCCAACCGGGAGTTGGACGATGGGAATGTCCCTTTCCCTGAATCCTGGCCAAAGGAAGACAAAGCACTCTGTCTCTCCTCCCCCTTTGTTGAAGCCTGTGCTGCTGAGGAAACCTCAAAATTTTTCCACAAGCCACTTCGTACCCAAACTTGATAAGCGAGCTTCAGTCCTAAGAAGTTTCATTAATCAAAGTATCACAGTACTACAAACTCACCAGGGGACAATGTCAACTGAGTTAAAGTATAGGTCTGGTTAGTGATTTTAAAGGCAGAAATTCTGAGGATTGTTAAATATTTTCTCTTAAGAACACCCTCAACCACAAATAACACATAGTCTTTGTGTTTTAGACAACACTGCTGTATAATGCAATAATGGGCTGGTCTACCTGGGAAGAGCGATGTTAGCTATGGCATTCTTCGCGTTCTGGGGCTAGAAGAGAGGAGGGCAGTGGAGGTAGATGTCTTGGAACCACAAAGACACAGATATAATCTTCCCTTCAGCCCTTAACTAGTTGAGTGATCTTGGGTATTTTACTTAATTTCACTGTGCTTCAGTTTCCCTATGTGTAAAAAAGGAGTTAATAATATTTACCTTGTGTGGTAGATAATATATATAAGGGCCTTATATATATTATACCTGATAATATATATAAGGGCCAACCATGTGCCTGGCATACAACAGATTTTTTTTTTCCTACAATAAGCAGATATTCTCTGTATCAAAGACAAATATAATTTTATATAGAATAAAAGTAAATAAAAAAATTAATTTATTGGTTTTATTGATACAAGTGAATTACAATTCATTATGCATTTCCTAACAAGGACTCAAAGTGTTGAAAATTCAAGAATCCAGGAATATGGAGGTCAATGCCCTGAAGGAGACCAAGATCACCACACACCCTAGCTAGCTCCAGGCATGCAGTTCATTCCTTTTCCTCTTGTTTTGTATAGTTTGTAAAGATATATCAAAGGTAACTGGTACACTCCAAGCTGTGGGAAAGCCACATTCTCTCTCAAAAAGCCTGCGTCAGGATGATTTGCTCCCCTTTGTAGTTCCTCTCACCTCAGCCTCTGACTCATAGTCTGTCAGCAGGTGGAATGACCTGCTCATTTCAGGGAAAGGCAGCCCTTTTCACAAAAGACCAGCAGAAAGCAGTTTCTGGCCCTGCAGCACTCTGCCTCACATTTGACACGTGAGCTCTGCCATGCACTCAGCTCTCCCAATCTGGACTGAATGTCCTGGTTAATGAGGGATTCTCTGAAGAGCCTCCATAAGTTACAAACATGTGACCAGAGGTGACAGAACAGTAAGCGTTCCCAAGGGTCTAAGGCATCCCTGGATTTTTAGATTTTTCCCATTTAGGTCAAACTAAAGTTATCAAAGTTCCAACCAATTATATGAGGAAAAAAAAGTGTAAGAGTAATTCAACTGTTCATTAAAATACACATAATATTCCAAGGGATAAAAACAAAATAAAACAGAACAAAACAAAAAGCACCTTTAGACTGTTTTTCCCAAAGAGGCTGGATAAATTGACACCTGTGAAGTCTCATAGCCAGTATGGACTTCCAAACTGGGGGAGGCACTGTGGCTGAGGACATAGCTCTGCACCAAAGGGAAAGACAGGCATGAAAGCTGGGTGGTTAAGAAATTACCTGTATAAGTATTTTGTTACCTGTGCATTTACACAATTAAAAAAAAGAAAGAAATTACCTGTGGAACTAGTAGGAAGATAAGATTTTACTTAAAAATTGTATCATTTTTGGAGCTGTATGCATAGAGAATTTCATAAAACCTCTTATCTCAAGAAAAGCTGTATATAGTTTTGCCTTTGTTTTCAAATTGTCTAATCTCAAGGTACCTCCTTAGGCTTACTAGCATCAGAGTCACAGTTAAGGTGATTTCAGGCTCTAACCTGCTAGTTGTTGTTGTTGTTGTGTGCCGTCAAGTCGGCCCCGACTCATAGCAACCCCTCCTTGGGTTTCCGAGGCAGTATCACTACGGAAGTAGGATTGCCCAACCTTCCTTCCGAGGAGTGGCTGGTGGGTTTGAACTGCCAGCTGTCTGGTTAGCAGTCAAGTGCCTTAGCCACTATGCTACCAGACCTGCTAGTAGTACACCCAAAAGTACAAAAAACTAAATCTCCAAAGGTTGATTTGGAAGCTGTCTTTGCACTTGCTGTTCTCTGACCCAGACACTCTGACCCCAGTCATTCCTGCATGCCTATTCTCTCCCTTCGTTTGGGGCTCTGCTCAAATGCCCCTTCTGGAGCGCGGCCTTCCTAACCGTCCCAGCTGACAGAGCACACACACACTCAACACAGGTTCACTGTCCCCTCCGTCTACTTTGTTTTTCTCATTCTTTCTTTTTTTCTCCTTCTCTCACATCTCTTTTCATTTTGTAGATGCATTTGTTTAATTGTTTATTTTTCTATGCCTTCCCCCTTCACCCACTTGAATATAAGCCCCATGAGGGAATAAACTGCTTTTCCACTGCTGTACCCCAGTTCTTCAGAGGGTCTAGAACACAGTGTCAATCAATGTTCAAAAAATACGTGTCAAACAAATGAATGAAAGAGTTATACATGTTTTTTTTTTTCTTACCAAATGTTACACACCTCCAGTTCTCTTCCCAGCAAGATTTAAAATCAACACATCTGAGATACCCACAAGGCTAACATCTCAGTAGATGTCCTTGTTGTTTTGGTTTATGAAACAAATGTATCCATTTTAGCTGCCCTGAGAGGTTACACAAAATAAGGTTCTCTTCTAATGTTCCCAGGCTATAATGCCTTTCTATCCAACTCCCAAATTTTTCTGTGCTCAAAGAAACATAGATCTCTTTTCTTACCATATTGGTCAGAAGAGCTGGTGAAGAGAAGGTAGTCAGAAGCACAGGTCTGGGATTCAATATCCAAATCTCCCAACCTCAAAATCAGTCTCTTCCCCTTTGGTACTATAATAGTCTTTTCACAAACAGTGTGATTGGGATAAGTCCCTGGATAATTTTTAGATGTCATTGTGCCACTGTCCTGATAGGTCACTATGTGTCCACAGCCATCACCTGTTTAAAAAAAAAAAAATGAAAGAAGTAAGTGAAATTAATTCTGAGGATTGAGAGAGTCTAGTGCAATGTTTTAGTAAGGTATTTTATTCCTTCTTTGGAGAAATGGAAAAGATAAAGAATGAAGATTGGTGATCAAAATGTTTCATGTATTAGCATGGATAGCATTTAGCAAATGCATTATTTGATCGTATTACTATTTCTAACCACCTATCCATCCACCCATCCATTAAAAATGTGCTTTTGTCTGTCAGCAAGCCACCCCAAAAGTCAATGCCATGTAATAATTTGCAATGGAGAAAGTAATATTACTCACTTCATAAGATTGCTGTCCTGATTAAATGGAACACAATATGTAAAACACTTCTGATAGAATCTGACACTTATGCTGAGAAGCACTTGTGTAGGAGCAAGTCATTTCACAGGGGCTGGAGCCAGTCACTCAACACTTATATCTCAGTTATTGACAATCACAGATATGAGGATTTCTGAGAGATTCTGGATGTATCATTAGAGAATGTCAAGGATTTACCATAGTACGTGCTTATCACCTAGCAGACATGGTGCTAACTGTTGGAAACATAAAAATATCAATGGCCCCCTCATAGCACTTGTGGTGTCATGGGGGAGAGTAACATATTTGAGTAACTATAATACCAGTTGCTATGTGCTGTATCAGGAGCCTGAGCAAAGTGCCAGGGAACACAGAGGAAGAAGGCAAACAAGAAAAAAAAATACCTATGAATTATCAGTCTTCCCCTAAGATGATAAATTATCTCAAGACTCTGAATAGAGAATTTTACAAGTTAACAACAAACATCGATGGCATGCACAACTGGGTGGGCTGCAAGGGAAATGAGCTCACGCCGCAATCATAGTGCAACATGCCTATAGTTAGCATGGCTTTACATAAACAAAACAAGAATTTCCAGCCTCAGCTAGAGGGAGAGAAAGCAGAAATCCACTGGAGAAGGAAACTCTCTGAGGTAGGCATGGAAGTTCACTCCCTACCTAAGACTGAAGCCCCAACCTGGGGGTGCATACTGGGAACCTGAGGCACAAAGCCTTCCTCTCCCATCTCCTTCTGCAGACTTCTAAGCTTCCTCTCCAAGGGCAGTGGCGGTTCAGGGGCAGAATCTGTCTGTCAGTGGAGATTTGTGTGCTTGACTGCTAACCAGAAGGCTGGCGGTTCAAACCCACCAGCCACTCCTCGGAAGGAAGGTTGGGCAATCCTACTTCCGTAGTGATACTGCCTC